CGGGATTTGTCAACGTGATGATGCGAGATTTGGGCAGACGCAGCGGGTAGCTCAACCGCCCGCGGCCGTTTCCGGTCGTTCTGAGACGCCCGGTCCGTACATGCGGAGAGACCGGGCAAAGCCGATCGGCACATTTTTGATTCGTCGGCCTTTTCCGATCATAACGATGCATGACATTGCTATCCACTGACTAGCGCCACACCACTATATCGCCGACAGCAGAGGATCCGACCCGCACAGACAGTGTTGGCCGAAAACGGCGTCGGGAGCCGCCCCGCACACATGTAACAAGCTTCTCCACAAGCAGAGCAACACGCCGAAGAAACACGGTTCAGTTGCAAAAAACCAGCCCCAGTTGTCGAGGGACGGTGCAAGGAAGCCTCCTGCCGGAATCGGACCGGCGACCTTTTGCTTACTAAGTGAATGCTCTGCCCCGTACCCAAGAAGGCTGGTGACCGCCGTTGCACAACCTGAGGCCACTTCGTGTGTCGAACACACGTAAAACACCAACCCCAAATATCAAGGGTGTGACGCAAGGGAGCCTTCCGCCGGGATCGGTCTGGCAGCCTTTTGTTAACCAAGCGAATGCTCTACCCTAAGGCTAAGAAGGCCGGTGCCTATCGGCGCACAACCCAAGGCCACTCCACAGACTAAAGACGGTTAGATCTCAATGGGTGATGGAATCAAGCCTTCTGCCGGAATCGGACCGGCGACCTTCCGCTTACGAAGCGAACGCCCTACCCCTAATCTAAGAAGGCTCCCCGAAGACAACCTGAGGCTATTTCACAGGCAGAAAACGATGGCCGCCGCCTTGCACCGACGTGATAAGAAAAAGGCTGGGTAAGTAGAGTGTAAATCGGCCAACAAGGGAAAAGAACGGGAGGTCGTCGTCGGACTGTCGGTGGGGTCGGTCTGGAGTGGAAGACTCCAGCCACCCAAAAAAAGAATACGTTCCTGTACAAAGGGCAACGTTGTGTCCTCACACGCCGGGGTGGTGGGGCTAGGAAGTGTGAATTGACTCGTTACCGCATCAATTCTCAACAAGCAGAGCGGCACGTGGAAGAAACGCAGTTCAGGTGCCAAAAGCCAGCCCCAGATCAAGGCGTGGACAGAATTGTCACCAAGTGTTAATCCTTGCCCCGCTCCCTTGGGCTAGATCTTTAGTGTTTATGATCCAGTGGTAGAATGCCCTGTTGCCATCGAGGCGAACCGGATTCAATTCCGGGCAGAGGGTGGGAGTGGCACTCCCAGCCACGGATGGTGTTGAGAACCCAGCGTCGAGATCGGTGCTTCCAAACTTGCGCCGGAATAGTTGGGAATTACGGAATAACTACCTTGCCAAGTTGAACTGCATGCTGAACCGTATAGTCGCTGCAGAGTCGTGGAGTGGGCAGCTCTGTGTCATCTCGCACCCAAACAACTCAGAAGGAGACAATTTTCAGCAAGGAGACAGTAACTTTTGAGGAAAACAAGTTTCTTTCCGTCAACAGTAAACAAACCGTATAATCGTAACTGGACCTAAATTCACGACAACACAAATGAACTTTGCCCACACAGATAACAAGTACCCGCCAAAGCCGTGAAGGATCGGAGTCTAGGGGGAAACGGTGCCGGGGTCGGATCTGGGAGGAACCTGGTCCGATCGCTGCCGATCCGACCCACACAGAGAGTCCAAATAGTGAAGAAACCGAAACGACTGCCCCCGTGGCCCCAGTAGGGCGAGCGCTAGGAGGTTTGCTTGGAAGACTGAGTAGCAAACCAGCCAAAAGAAGGAACACGGCAGGGATATGGCCGCCGGCAGGCCGGTGTTCACGAATGATGTAACATGGAAAATCTAGCATCGACTGTTTGATCACGTGGTGTACAATTGACACTAGACCAAACAGCCAACTGCATAACGCCCATCCTAGACTATTGCCGATCCGAAGTAATGGCAGG